AACAAAAATTAAAATGATCTTGATGGAAAGGAATACTCCTGGTTTAGTCAGAAATGAGGTGTTTCCCCAAATATGCCCAGCCCTTTGTTTCTCCTGATATTAAGAAAATTTGGTTGGCGAATTCATCGTTCATCTGGAAACTATACTGACACTAGTGATATCAATCGAAATTATCAATATGGAAAAGAAATTCACTTTGTTATAGGAAAGAGGGATTATAATCGGTTTATAGAAACGATTCAAATGCAGATTTCGTGAGTTATAATACCAACAGTGGAACGACGCGTTGCCTGTTGCCTATACCACAATCGGTCGTTGATATTCAAATTGATTATTATTGGGGTATTAACGAGCAATTCTATGTACTTTATTCAAGTTGATACGGAATCGACGAAAAACTTCGATACCCGAGACATTCTAGGCCGATTATACCCAGAAATTGAAAAAAATTCAATAAACTTGTTCTGAAATCAGAAAGTTGGGTTACATAAAGAAACAAAGTTGAGCCTAGTAACGTTTTCGATAGGTACCATAGAATCAAGATAGGATATATTTCTGAATAACATTCTGTTTACTTGAACAGTACAGGATAATCTGTATCTGAAATTTCATCACCGCGATTGAGGTCTATAAAAATAATAAGTTTCTATCGTTCAAATTTGAACCCCTTGAAATTGACAATATTTCAAAGAATTTCACATTTCGTATTGTGAGGTTGGGTACAGAGATGTTCAATGTCTTATATCAATAAAATGGACGCCGCTGTCAAAATGCATGTATTTCTATAGGATGCAAAACTGTTGAATTTTGTATTATTGAAAATGAGAGTGAAAAAGCAGCTTATTGGACCCTTCGTTTCACAATCTAGTTATAATTGACAAATACAAAAGGCAATGCATTTGACAGATAACACTCAATTTGACAGAAACTGTTGCCAACAATTAGCAAGAAATGCCTGACCTTTTCCAAGTGAAATATGTTCAATTCATCATAAGGGTCCTTGTGGAGCATTGATTGTCAGTTCAACCAAAAAATTGCCAATTGACTCTAGTTCACTGAAAAACGGCCAGACACATTGTGCTACTCGTTGGCAGCAACTAAACTGTCAAATTGAGTGTCATCTTTCCAATGTTATTTCTTTTGTGAATGTCAATTATATAAAATTTGATAAATCAAGGGTCTAAAATGTTTTACTTGGTCATATTCACAATATTAACTGTTAATTATATTTTGATCAGATAGATGTACTTGAAATATTTTTGACAGCCTTCGTAGTCAACATCACAATCACTTGGAGAAGCTGAGTTCTTCATCAGCGTAACCTGACGTATCTTCAAAAATGTTGTGGAAACATTCTATATGATATGTTTCCAGGTTAAACTCTCGAGATATATTGCAAAGCTTGTCTGCCCATAAATTCATAAATGTCATGAAATTATTTGTTATTCGATGTTAATCAATAATAATATTATCATTCAATTAAGTTCTCTACCAATTTTTGATTATTCATTCAAGATTCCCTAGTGGACGTACCTACTCATCACATTATATCTATTTCATATGATTCATTGCTCATACTGAAGAGAGTGAGTCGGTAGAAACTAACCAAACCAAGAATCATGTATTATCTATGTAGGATGAAAATCGGTTGACAATATTTGAATATTTTCAAATTATTTTCACACATGGAAATATACCCCTAAGGTTTTGGTACGACTCTCCTGACTCACGTACCCTACTAGAAATATCAATATGAGCCTAGCTATATAACCTATGTCATTTTCAGTACATGCAGCTAAAAAAAATCGAAACATGCGGAGTGATCAAGCTGAAGTATTATAAAATGAAATATTATGTATTCAAAATACAGTGCGAAAATTGAAGGAACTATTATAAGTATCAAATGAAAATAAAAAAGAGCTCCTATAAGCGGAAATATCATATTACTGAATTTTTTATTCATGTATAAGAAGGTTTGTTTAGATTATACTATTTATGTCCCTTATTCGAAAAATCCAATTCGATATCTAAATGTTAATGCAAAAATATGGGTTTCAGTTTACTGTACCAAATAGATGAATATATTTATATGATGATGATTCCACATCGTTTGAGATACAAAACCAGTAAAAAGCTCGACATCAAAATATTTTCAATACTTTGGAATATGGAAATAAACTATACAATCTTCTTCACAATACATTAATTTCCCTAATGATTTTATTATTATTGGATTATTCTGAATATACACCAAACAAATCACTACCAACTTTTCGATATGGAAAAGTTCGTTGATGTATGTATGTACTAAATATGTATAATATGAATCCAAATTACGAGTACAAGACTTTTCTGGTCTACCTCAAAATCTAATGATAGCGTTTTCCACTCGCTGATTTTCAGAGCGGCATAGCACCACTGACATAACTCCAATCTGGACCGCTATATCCCGAAAATTTCATCCAAATTGCTGGCCTGAAACCGCTTCTGCGCAATGCGCATGAACTCCTTAACTGTCATTCATGACATCGAGATGTCTCTTGATGTTTGAAAACATAGGTAAGTGTGTATAAGATAATATATGACAGGTTCTGAATGCGCAAGCTCCAATGAAACCAGGTTTGATCTCGTAAATGAATGAGCTTCAACTTTATGGCAATTGCTGTCTAGTTAATAATTCATATCGGTGTCTTGCGCTGAGTTAACTACAAGTAGCACTGGTTCCATTTTGTCATAAAGTAGTGCGGTTCCAGCACAGAGCAGTGAAAATTAAAATTGATCAGTTTTGAAGCTGCATAAACTGAAAAGTCAATTTCTTGAGATATTATCAATGCCAGATTTGATTGGCTGATTTCTATATCAAACAAAACATAAATACAAGTTTATTTTTCCATAAGAAATGTCCTTTGGTAAATGCTGATTAATCGCAGAAGCATTTTCAGTTATTTTCTATCATCACTTGTATCCGAAGAATCTATGAGTTCAAGAATCATTTTCGATTTGAGGTTATTAGAATACCACCATCGCTGGAGCATATTTCTGAAAATTCGAACTCTGAGCGAGTATTGGGCAAGTTTGCAAGCCAGTGGACATCATGTCTCGACATCAGCGCTCGGTTCGGAAAAAAGGCGAACCAGTTTCACTAGTGGAAAACGCTATAAAACGAACACATCACATACTAACACCACCATCCACCAATAATTAACCTGATTGTTATCTGCTCCACTTATTATGCGTTTTGGCTGATCGGGTTGGCCAATATTATGCTGATAAAAAATATTGTCGATCAATTAGGTATTATGAAATTACTCATGAAAAAATGCCGAAGATATATATATCCTATAGTCTGAATTATATATTGTCCCTGAAAGGTCTGTACATATTCCAGAACATATTCCTGAGGTCAAAATGCGCCGATTCAGAGCAACTTACTTCTGTTCGAAATTGCTCCGTTTCCAAGATACAGGGTGGTAAAGTTGAAGAATAAAAATCGAATTTCTCAGAATCTATGAACATTTTCTAACGTATTGACTCAAAAACTCAAAAACGAATACGGATACCTTTTCACTGTGGTCATTAGAGGGCGCTTACCAATCGACTTCTTATGGTTTAGAATAGCTATAACTTTTTTCTCAGTGTAGTTTCTCACTTCATTTGTTGAGGTAATGATTATCTGAACATTCTCAAGCCAAAAAGAAACTTTCGATAATTCGATTTTAAGTGTTCGATGCAGCACCGGAATATTTAAATTATTCCAAATGAAAAATGTTTACTGTCATCTTCGTGGATGTGATTTGATCAGTGAATTAGCAGTGCTGAAATGGATTTTTCAAGATAATTTCTTGGAGTGTACTTGTCGATTTTTTATTTTTATCTTCACCACCGTGTATTTCGGAAACGGAGCAATATCCTACTGAGGTAAATTGCTTCAAGTCGGACTATTTTGACCTCAAGAATATGTGCATAGATTTTGTAGATACCTTTTAGGGACACAAGTATATCATTCTTCATGTTCAGTATTCAGTAAGAAATATATAGATTAAAATATTGAGTCCAAATTTATTCAAGTGAATGTGACTGATACATAACCATCATAACCATCAAATCGTTTAACCAATTGATTACCAATGCAAATCATTTGAAATTGCATCAAAAAAGAATGAATTGGAGAATTGTGTAAATAAAATTCAAACCAAATCCCAAAACAAATGTGTTAGGAATATATTTTTTCAAAGACGATTACGTTTGTGATTCGTTTGTCTGAGTATTGATTTATGTCTTGTTCCATCCCGTAGACAATTTTCGAAAAAAAAAAATGTTTCGTTGATTTGGGGTATTTGCCATAACGCCGAATTTATATAAAGTTCGCTCATACCGTTCAGGGAATAATGTTGATTTCCTAGGTGACAAAACTTGAAAGTACCTACTGCACCCTTTTATTTTTAGAAACAAGGTATACCTATTGTCACTCTAATGATAATTGATGCATGAAAATTAATCATTTTTTGAAATATCACCTATATTTCACTTCAATACCTAAATACTGGTGAAGACCATAAGTGTAACCTAGTTGATTTCATTCTCTTAACTGCTTCAATTCCCAGACTTCTGAACATCTTCTGAGTTGATTTAATTATTTAATAAAATTGATTATCAATAATCTAATATTAAATATCTCCTTATTTGAAATGACATATTCCATAGTTATCGCAGAAAGCAAAGCAAGTGTCATGCAATATACAGGGTGTCCCATAAGTCATGGGTCAAAAGAAGTGCGGTGACTCATGATATTTCAATTTCACACAAGAGCTATTTTTTGAAATCCTGATCCTCTATAGGTGATTGAAACGAGAAACAATATCTACTACATTAATTCAATCAGAATGGGGTTAGTAGATTGATTTATATGAGTTTTCACCAACTGAGTTAGGTATGTAAAACTGTTAATGATGAAATTTGAATTCTTGTTAACAGCAAAAAAAATTTATATCACCCTGTGTTTATCTCGGAAGTGTGGAACTTTGTTTTTTAACTATTCTGTGGAGTGCCTGTGGACTTAAATGACCTGGTAATGGTCTACCATCTAGAGTTGCACATGGGATTCTAACTCTTTGCGGTAATGCTAGATTGAACTAAATAAAGAAAACTTTCTATTAGCATCGGCAAATAGGAGGAATCTGAAGATAACATGGCCAATAATTTCGAGACTTACTTTTGTGGCACATTCGAAGCACGTCGTTACAACTTTGGAAATGACGTTCATAAGATTTTTTGTTTCTTGTATCACATTATCAACTTTGGTGAAAGTAGCTGCCTTTCCGACTGTATGGTCTTTCACTGTGAATTGCAGCCTCTGGACGAAAGTTGGAACTTTGTCGAGATTCGCTAACAGTTCCTTCTTGGCAGTGCCGCCGGGAACCTATCAAATCAGAAAAGTTTAATTGGATTACGTGAACTGCAAAATATTGATTGATTGATTGGTTGTCTTTATTACCCCAATTTTTCTTTATGACAGGGATATATACAACAAAAATATACATATAACATAATGAATCGAAATAATAATAATTGCACAATTATTGTTTTCCATAAAAAAATTATATTGAAATATAAAATGAAAATATTATTATAATCCATGACAAGAAATTACTGAGCAGATATTTCTTTAAATTGATTTTAAATTCTTCTGCTTCTTCTATGTTTTTCAACTCATTAGGTAAGGAGTTATATAAAATTATACCATTAGGGAATATTGATTGTTTACCAAAATTTGACCAATAATTATTTGCTATCAATAAATTGAATTGCCCTGTTTCATGGGCGTGAATCGTATTAACTTCATTAAAATTCAAATTTCGAGTTAATATAATGAAACTAGATTCAGCAAGTCTTCAGGTTTGTATATAGATTCACAGTTGATTCTGAAAAAAGGAAATAGAAAATGCACTTTATTGTTTCATTATGTAATTTCATGAGTGGCTTCAAACGTGAAATATTTGTACTTCCCCAAATAGATATTAGATATCGTGAATTTGGATAAAAAATAAATACTCTTTAGATATCTAACAGGAATGAAATTTCGAATTTTATATATAATACCAGCAATAGGATTCATTTTTTTATGAAATAATCTATATATAGATTCCACGATAATTGTTCATCAATATAAGGACCTAAAAATTTTGTTACGTTCGTATATTCAACCGATTTGTTATCGAAACATATTGGGGTATTATTCAATATATCCGTTTGTTCTTCTTGAGATGTACATATACGTAGATTTACTATAATTAAAGAGTCAACTTATTGGTCGTTAGCCAAGATACAATACAATACGTTTTTTTTCCATTGGAAATTTTTACATGTTTAGGAATCGTCAGTTTGAAGGATTAAAACTAGACAGTCTGAGACAGAGACCTAAGATAAAATGATAATATTTCGATATTACCGAGACAAAAGCAAATAAAAGACTAGGCTGCCGAAAAATATCCTTCTAAAGTATAGGGATTCATTTAAAGTAGTTAAAGTTCGTTTTAAAATGACTAAGATGATATTTGTTTCGAATCATTTTTAATATTATTCTTAATATCGTTAAAATCTCTCGAAGTATAGATTATTATTGTATCATCTGCAAATAATTTCAGTTTCCCTTTCAATTTCAAAGTAGATATTGAGTTAATGTAAATTAAAAATAAAATTGGCCCCAAAACTGACCCTTGCAGTACACCACATCATCAAGGAACTACAAGTATGATTCCCATCAACATACTGTTTTCTATTGTAAATACAAAGGCGTGCTACACCAGTATTGGCAACACTGTCCGAAAGACTCTTGCCGGCCATAATGGCCAATACAAATACACTATTACGGTCTGTGAATGCAACAAGGTGAATTTGTCTAGTTTTCAGAAGTAAATTTGATGTGATGTGTTACCAATGTGAAATATTGTTCAAAGCCAGTGAACAGAATAATCTAGGGTTCGAGTTATGAGTAAAAGAGTCTGCGAAGACCAACAAAAAATATTATTTTTTGAATTGAGGTTATGTTTTACATTTTCCTATTTATAGGAATCAAGTCAGTAACTTCAACGTTTCTCATAGGAAAATGGCGAATATTTGTGTAACAGGAAATAGGTAGGTCAAATTACGCTTCGGAAAATTTTTACATTGCCTATAGATGACTATAACTGCAATTGATATCTCCTAGAAACAGGACTACCTCTTAACATTCGAGAATGTAATGCTGTTCATTTTATTGAAACAGATTCTCAGGTATGATACACTTTCTCTTCATGATGTATCATTTCGAAATATTTTGCGAAGATAGGTACCCTCAGTTAGTAGAAACTGTAGTATTCTAAAACCTTCTACATCATTGAGATATCAGAAATGTTCACCTATCCCAAATAATTAAATAGTTGATTTCAAACAATTACTTACAGCGGAAAGCTGAAAATTGATGAATCTCTAATACATTTAGTGAAATCAATGTTCATCGAATTTCTGAGCCAGATGTGTTATATCCTGATATTACTGATGCATTGAAAATAACTTTCCAAGTTTTAATATTGAATGAGATGCAGGTTCAAGTTTTGTGATAATACTTTGAGATCCAATTATTGAAAAAACATTATTTCTTATGAAACTTATGTGAAGTTGAACTTGTCAGTTGTTCATTATCTCTAGTATCACTTATTTCGAAGCCAGAAATTGACTCATTCTAGTTCGGTTAACTGTAACATAACCAATGTTTGCCTACCTATGTCACCAGTAAATAGTAGGATTCCGCGGATCACGGCAATGCAATATGTTGCCAATATTTCACCAGTTTTCAACTCTTTCAAAGCATTGTACATTGAATCAATGAAAATCAGATTGAGTCATCATCGAAATGTCTTTCAAAATAACTGATCTATTTGCATAACACCAATTTCCACGTAGAAATCCGGAAAGAATCAGTTTCACCCCACAACGTGTTCATATAAAAATCTTCTCAACTTACTTGGTAGCTGAATTGTCGAATCACTTTGTAAAGCCGATTTGCTTCTTCAGCAAAATATTCGGCTTGCGTGAACAAATCCTGAGTCGTTTTCAGCTCCCCTTCACCTTTGGTAAACTGGTACATCGAAAATGCCATTGCTGACATATTCTTCGCCCTCTTAACAATATCATTATTCTCCTGAAATCAATATCGAGTGTAAAAGACATTATTTGGTTGAAAATTTAATGGATACTTACCTCTAGTTCAGGATTACTATTACTCTCTTGCCATTTTTCTGTCTCAGCATCCATTTCACTGCTGATCAGTTTCATTTCCAACCCAGACTTGGCAATCTTCTCCTGTTCCTCCGTATCTAACCTCACAGCTTTCAATGGTTTGGATGTTGAGCCATGTTTCTGAAAGAAAATGAGCTGTATAGTCTGCAGAATTATAGAGAGACACATTGTCTGGCCGCAGTTTCGAGTAGACTGAATCGATAGATCTGAATCGCTACTTGTCTCGAACGATAGAATTGTGAATTCGTAGGAAATCAATATGGAGTTGGATCTCGTCCAACTTCACGGTACATGAATAATGTTTGTTGTTTTCAACGGTTGTGAGTGATTTACCATGAATTCGCCCGCCTCCAGTTATCTTTTTAGGGAAAAAGTCCTATCTACAGAGCACTCTGCAAGGATTGGAGAAGGACAGATTGTTTGTTGGTAGGATATGTTTTCTTGACGATCGATATTTTATAATCAACGTATGATACAACAATGTGTATTGATGATTATCGAAATATAAAATTCCCCGATTGTTTCGATTATTTCACTAGTTATTTCATGAATAAATCGATAAATTCATGTTACATTTTGATTTGCAGTAGGCTTGTTATGAAACTAAGGATACATCGAAAGCTGCTAGAGGCACCAATTATTGTCGCGCGTCTCTGGAAGGAATGGTATAAACTTATCTCGTACATAATAATTATTATTATGCTCGCCAGAAATACGATAGTCAAGAGAGCAGCGTACGTTCTTACGGATTAGAAGGTCCCAGATTCGAATCCTGCACTTTCAGCTCTCAGCCGGAAATTTTATGGAGCTATCATCATTATACGACTACCTATGTGATTATATCGTTAGCTATTCATATTTGTATCAAAAATTACGTAGCGAGCGTTGGCAAGATGTAAGCGGACTGAAAGTTAAATGAAAATAAACAACGATCACTTTCTTGTGATATACTCAGTGAGGAGAAACGGAGTTTCATCTTCAATGAGAATTGTTGTTGCATATCAATTCTGATAGAAATAGATATCAGGAATGGGACAACCAAGGGATGTTCCAATCATATCCTTGTACTTTGGGACACAAAAGGTACGTCCCTAGGATATCCCTGGGTTGCTAGGGTAGGGATCAATATCACTACCAAATATATCGAAATTTTGATATCGCCGATTGAAAATTCGATCAACAACGAACCAGGCACAGAACATAGATGAATACAGTCATCAGTCAAGTTTCAGTGACCTTAAGATATTCAGACTTCATGACTACGATGTCGTGAATGGTTAGTTTCTTGATATATGTCTAGGAAGTAGGATGGTTAAGAATTTAGACCACTCAAAATGTGCGAAAGTTGCGCTTGCCTGGTGAGCATCATATTATTTATGAATAAATCTATTTGGTACATAAATTCTCCAGACTTTCTGGTCTATCATGGATCTGAGTATGGGCCAGAGGTCTCGTGTTCGATTCCTGTTCCACATAATCTCTTGAAAATCTTGAAAATACGAATTGGGAGGTTTTTGGGGATGCTTAATCTGAATCTGATAGAAAAAGTTATCTCAAATTAGCCCTAATATCCGTTTCCCAAATAAAGGCCTTTTTGTACCCCTCAACATCGCACGCAATGGTGAATAAAAATGTTCACTATGCTGAATACTTCATTGTTCTAACATACAATCACCACAACATTTTTAAGAAAATCGCATCATTCATAACTGAGGTATTACACGGTGAAAAAATCCTATTGAGTGAATTTCTTCGTCAAAATATAAATACACAACTAGTTTCATCAAGAACTCAGATGTTTTTGAATGTCAGTCAAAATTGTGTACATTATTTCTGGAGCATTTTTCCATATTTTGTGTCAGTATAATCTGAAGGATGGCCATATAATGATTACACCGGGACCGGACCGGGATTGACACAAAGTTGTTTGGACCTGGAGTTGAAATCAACTCAAAAATTTTCATCGTGTAGGGTGTATTCATGAAAAGCGGTACACACTGTATACGATATTGCATTCAGTTCATATTTGGTATCAGCTCAAACATAACGTTAATTCGTATCGACTATTTTTCATATTGTTCATTATGTAATACATCTCTGTTTACTTACACCAGGTCTGGGAAGAGACATATAAACTTGCTTCTCGGGCTTCGATTGACTCGCGTCGAGGACATCTTTCACAATGGTCGTGACGTCAGATACCAGCCATTGGTACATATCGGTGAAGACCTCTAAATTCTCCTGGCCGATTTTGCTCCCTGGATAGGAAGCTAAACATTTCGCAGCAGTTATCACTTGCGGACCATATACTTTCAAATTGATTTCGGTGAATTTGGCAGAAACCTGTAAGGTTTCAGACACAGCCACATGTCTTAATAATTTACAAACCTGGAAAAAAATTGAATCAGGCTTTGAATACTCGAAAGTCATCTTTTCGTGCGATCACATAGTGCGTAATTAATTTATAAAATAATTAGTGTGGTCCACTGAAGATGGTCCAACCTCCAACAGTTCAAGACATGGTCAAATGAAAAAATCCTCAGAACCACCCTTCCAAAAATTTCAAATGGCAACCAGTGTCTAGGTATCTCCACCCCAATAATAACTTTCAGTTTTGTTGTGCCTATTAGTGGTGTTTTTTGGATTATTTCTGGGGGTCCACTGGAGACGGTCCACTTGGTATAACTTTCAAATGCATAATTGAAGAAAAATCACTAAATCATCTAATTTGAGAGGTGGCCCACCCAAGATGATCCATCTTGGATGGCTCTTGAACAATGGTTTGAATGGATAAATGCTAGAACAAGTGGAGTCAAAAAAGTTGCTCAAAATGTGCACCATTCGCAACATTATGTGATAATTCTCTTTCCCAAGTCCTGAAGATCAACAGGAGATGTTTTGTGTGTGTGTATGTAAAAAACAAAATTATTGGGAGCAAGATCAGGTTGTCTAGCCGGCCATTTTATCGGACCTTTTCGACCAACCGATTTTTTTGAAAATGTTCGGTTTAACCGATCTCTCACACGGATATAATAATAAGGGACGGAGCACCATTCTGCCGTAAGAAAATATTTTCTGCTTCTAGAATTGAACGTATTCTGATAGCATCTTCCAGAGGCTCGATTTGATTTTCTAGCATGCTCAAGTAAACAGCACCATCTGAATTTCAATCAATGATTGTGGGTCCAATCTCAGCCAACGCGTTAATCTTATGAGGATATCGCAAAATTCACTAAGCCTATCAATAAGTCATCCTCATTGAACTCCTCATGGAGTTTTTATTCATAGGAATATTATTTATAGATTTTCAGGACCAGTTGAATCGAACTTCTTGAGATTCCACTAAAGAATGGCCAAAAGTTGTCGAACAAATAAACTAGGATCATTCACTATCTGTCACACACACTCATTATTTCAAAACACTAATTAACTCATATGCAAAAACAAAACGTGGATATAATCAAGGTGAAAATACCACTAGACCCATGTTTCCATTTGAAATTCTTGAAAGGGTGGTTCTCTAGGGGAGGGGAAGGCCATGCCAGATGACGAATTGATCTGAAATTGTGTTCTCCAAGAAAAGAGAGTTGAGATGTTGGAGTATTTTGTTTATTTAATCATGTGTTCAAGAGTTATTCAGGGTCGATCGTCTTGAATGGCCCACCAGGTAAAATGTGAATTATGCGTTCCGCTCACCTCCAGAATATGATCAATGGAATCATGAAAGGCATTGGAGGTGTGATGAAGTCTATCGATTTCCGACCTGATTGCCTCCTGTCTTATCGCAGCCACTAATTCTAAACCCTGCTTGGTCGCCGTGGTCAGATCCTGTGCTTGATGGATGGCAGCGTTGGCTAGATGTCGAGACAAGTCCCTTGCCGAATTTATGCACACCTGAACTGAATTATCCATTTCCGGGCAGTTTGAAACGTTCTCAAAGTCTACCTGCAACAAGTATGTAAATTCAGTGTCGTAATTAATAATTAATAATAATAAGGAGGGGGTCTATGGGGTCTGTACCCCTCTTAGAGCTGTCTGAAAAACCGAAACGATCTGGTAAACATTTCTAATAATGGAAAAACGTCGAACAGCACTGAAAGCACTTGAATCCAACTGTTTCAAATCCAGAGCAGTATGGAACTGCAGAGAAACCTTAAAGCGACTGGCACAACGCGATAACGTTAACCTAGTCTGGATACCAGGTTACACGGGCCTAGAAAGAAACGAAAAAGCGGACGTCCTAGCAGAAGGAGAGGGTCGGAACATCGTTCACTGGGCCAGAACCCGTAATCGTTATAGCACATACCACGGCCAAGAATGTTATAACATCCCGGGCCGACAACAAAAGACTCGAGTATTGGCGTAGTCTACGGGGCCTAGCTCATTCCAAAGCATTTAAAACTTGTACAAGGAACAAACAGGACTCTGAAAAACTACTAGAACTCAATATATCGAAGACTGGAACCTTTGGCACGATAATACACTACATGTGTTGCACTAACCAAACCGATTGTTTAACGCCTCGACACGTGTTTCGCTAACTATGTTAGCATCTTCAGGAGAAGATCGAAACTAGTTTTAATCTTCTCCTGAAGATGCTAACATAGTTAGCGAAACACGTGTCGAGGCGTTAAAAAATCGGTTTGGTTAGTGGTAAAACAGTGTAGTGTACTAGAACTCAGTAGAGCACATCTCAGAGTTATAGTAGGTTTGCTCACTGGCCACTGCAACACCACATGCACAAGATGCAGAGTGCCGTCTATGCTTGAAGGAGGATGAAACGGCCCCACATATTTTATGTTCATGCCCTCCAGCGGCCAGAATCAGATTTTCAACAATTCGCAATACAACAGTAGGGCCAGAAAACCTGATAAATTGTTCTCTCGATGTACTCCCCAATTTCGCCAAGAGATTAGATATAGGTACTGGGAGAAATATTACCATAGAGTGAGCCACAATAGACCGACCATAGGCCGCAGTGGAGGGTCTGACATACCTTAATAGAAAAACATCGACCTTCCAGTAAATGAAGATATGGATGCACCATCCAGAAGCCCAAGGAAACTTGAATTCCTAATTTGATAATATACTTCGCATTAATTTTTTCACTACCTGAATATTCTTACAATGTCAATGATTGTATTTGTTGATATTATGTAATATTATTCGATTCAGTTTTCAATACTTTCTTCTTCATTATGTCATTGTTTCCAAATCATGCACAGATTCATTGAGAGCAACGTGAGTTACGTATTACTTCTCTTTTTCCCAAAAATTGTATATTAGAACCAGACCCCCCCAAGGGATAAATTTCAATTACGACACTGCACATCCATTCGAACTCGGTCGTACTCGGCAAACTACGTTTCATCGGTCACATGCACAAACTCATATTATTCCAAATTATTGACAGAATATTACGTAACTCATAAAGAGGATGGAAAGAGGAACTCTTCAGATAGATATAATTCATTTTATTTTGCCACAGGCAATATTATTCTTTACTCACAATATTGGCATAGAGGCCTAGTAAATGATCCAGTTCAGCCTTCAATCTCTCGGAACATTCTAAAATGGCTTCTCTATGTTCATGGCTAGTATAGGCACTATCAGTGAAATCCTGAGTTCTTTCTAAGACAGCCTCTAAGGAAGTAGGAAGTGTATCTTGACAGGAAGGATCTGTAAATAATGTAATTTACTCATTACTCAATCCGCAATGGATAGAAATATGAGGAAGATACATTTCAGTCCCTTCGAGGGACTGAAGTGACAAAATTTATTGGAACTACGAAATAGCCACAATGCTCAAAGTGGAATGAAATGTTAAATAAATGCAAAAAGCTCAAAGTCATTTCCACACAGTGTTCATAAACTGAACAACAATGGTAGATTTCGGGAGAAAAACAACTACTTCCCTGGCTAATGCCACGCAGGATATTGAATTACATCCTTCCGAAATCTATGCATCGACTCGTATAAACGAATACTGATACAAGTGATTCTTTCCTGAATGCCTATTGATTTCGATTAAGCAGGCCGCTAGACAACCACAGACCGGTTTCGAGCTCTTTGACTCTCATCAGTGCAGTGTAGTCTCCAGCCAGCAGTCCTAAGACCGCCGACTCAGCGAAGCCTAGCCAAACAAAAATCAATTTGGCATTTTATCCACCCCGAGGCGTCTTTCATCGACAAAATGAAAGTAACGCCATCTGAGTAGAACAGAGGAAAGAATCACTCCAAAACTAAAATTACTATACGGGAGTGGCTGGTTGCCCGACTGGCGTAATTTCAACTACGAAATAGCCACAATGCTCAAAGTGGAATGAAATGTTAAATAAATGCAAAAAGCTCAAAGTCATTTCCACACAGTGTTCATAAACTGAACAACAATGGTAGATTTCGGGAGAAAAACAACTACTTCCCTGGCTAATGCCACGCAGGATATTGAATTACATCCTTCCGAAATCTATGCATCGACTCGTATAAACGAATACTGATACAAGTGATCAGTATTCGTTTGTTGTATGTAATGTAAAGTGTGTTGTTACTACTAAGGTAGTTTTCGTCATTTCATGAACCACTAGTCAATTAACACAGCCATATCTGTTATAATTAACCCGAATTCGCTGTTCTGATGCGAGATTCACAGAAATGGCACTTGAATCTAGAAGGAATTTGTCAATCATGATTTATCATATACTGTCATGGTCATGACTACTAAATTTTAATTAGAATTGAAAAGAAGTACTTTCATAGTCACATAGGTCTATTTTTCAGTATGACAGAACAATGGAGAAATATAATTTGCTGACCAAATTATCAAAGTATGCTGACTGAGCATTTCTGAATCGATTTTTTTCTTCAAATTCCATATTTGACCATATTTATTGAATATAATATATAGATATATAGATGCCACCAGTGGAATAATTCCAATCAACCCCTTCAGAGGAGTAGTTTATTCCTGCTGTTTCTCGAAAATTCTTGCTGACCGAGCATTTCAAGTGAGAGTTTTTGCTTCAACTTGCATATTTGGATATTTCATAAAGATATACAGATGCTACCAATAGAATAATTCCGATCCACTCTTTCAGAGAGGTAGTTTATTCTTTCTGGTTTTCAAAAATCCTCGTTGACCGAGCATTTATGGTTCGTATTTATTTTTCTTTTTTTCTTTCGAATCACATATTCGATTATTGTAGGAGATATAAAAATGCCACCAGTGGAATAACTCCGAATCACCCCTTCAGAGGGGTTGTTTATACCTGCTGTTTTCCAAAAATTCTTGCTGACGAAGTATTTGTGGTTCGTATTTTTCATCAAATGACATATTTGAATATTTGATGAGAATATAAAGATGCCACCAGTAGAATAATTCCGATCCACCCCTTCTGAAGGGTAGCTTATCCGTTTATGCTCGGTCAGCAAGGATTTTTGAAAAACAGCTAGAATAAACTACGCCTCTGAAGGAGTTGATCAGAAATATTCCTTGTACCAGAAATGCTCGGTCAGCAAGGATTAAAAAAAACAGCAAGTATAAACTTCTCCTCTGAAGGAATTGATTAGAATTATTCCACTAGGGGCATCTATACATATATATTCATAGAATATTCAATTATGTTTATGAAAATAAAATCGGGTCAGGAACGCTCGGTCAGCATACTCTAATTTTGATGAGCAAATTATACACCCCCCGTTTTCATGTCCACGTAGGTAAAGAATCTTGCATCCTTGAAATGAATGGGGACGAATGATCATGGGTTTCAATAAGCCGAAAACAAGTTGCCTTGCTGCTGATCTTCAATCAGGTAATGAACGTTAGTAAGATGACTTCGGATTCCCATTCATAGTAGAGAAATATTCCAACTCACCCATAGAAATCTTACTATGCTCGAGAAGATACTGCAGATGCCTCATGCAGGAATACGCTGTTCCTCTGTCGCTCTCGCACAGCTCCTCTCTGCCGTCCGATTGAACACTGGAGTCGGACCCATTCAGCACGCCATCTTTGACGACATAGTGGATGAGGTCCATCGCTCTCCTCATCTGGCAGAAAACCGTGTCGCGATTCTCTCTAGCGGAAGCGCATTCTGGATGCCTCAGACAAGTCTAGATATCAAAATTTCGGATTTCAATATCTCGCACGTTGGAAACAACGACAGTGCAATTGAAAAATAGTACATCATACATTAAGGGACAGAAATGCAAAATGTTTTCCGAGGTGCGATTTGTAGCTCGAGGGCGGAGTCCGAGAGATACAAAGCACCGAGGCAAAAATAGCATTCTGTCCTGGGGTGTATATGTTACCGTGATAGACCGAAATTAGTGATTGTTGGCATACACCGATTAATGTCGACACACACCAAATGTATTGGTGAAATACCGAACAATTATTAGTTTTAATATTAATTCCGTCCTTCACCGGTATATGTCGACAAACACATGTAAGCTTTGGTCGATATCGGAAATGACGGGTCTCAACAAGCTTGTGGCCAGTCTTACACAAGGTTTGATTGATAGTGGTATTATTCTTTGTACTCGATGGCTACTGCAGTGAATATCAAACAAAAATGGCACCTTGAAGCAGTTTTTCACCTGAAATCAATTCGCAATTTGCAAAGAAAAGTTAATTTCCATGGATGAGATTTCAGCTCAAGAAATTTCGGTAAGAGGAGCAGCTTCTGCTGATTCATAAAGCGGAGGGCGAGGCTATAAATGCTGTAGGTAACTGCAAAAAGAAGTGTTCCACGTCTACATGTAGCTGTAAAAACAAAAACCTTTCGTGTAATTCAAAGTATCATGGTAGCTTGTTGTTGCAATGAATAAGGTTGCCATACATTCACTTTGTTTTTACTATCAGTTCTAGAAATAAAATACATTCCATTTTTATATTAATATTATGTTTGTTGTGTTTGTCTTGAGTTCAACAACTTCTTCATGTTCATTCGAAAACTTTTTCCATGATTTAATTAAAATAAAAATACTTAATAAATATTTTTTTTTTTAATTCTTTCGAACATACACCATGAGAACATGATGAATGTCGACATTCGCCGGTGGAAGTTAGAAATAATGATATTTGATGAATATATCGGACATACGCCAAGTAACTTGAAGAATGTTGACATTCACTGGTATATCCTGACAATCACCGGCTTTCGGAAGTTCACGGTAACATATACAGGGTGTTTCATTGGGAAAGGTAAATAATTCAACTGTGGATAGGGGTCACTGGGGTGATTTAAAAAAACCCATGGTTAATGGGTCTTCGACTTCTTATTACCGAGATACAGGATGTTTCATCAATTTTGTCCATATCTTCATTGTCTCATAACTTTCCAACCAACCTGTATATATTTTTGAAAATTGGTACACCTGCTCAATCTACCCTGTGGAATTGATTGAGGTAACAACAAAAGATAAAATCCAGGTCCGGCTTCACTTAAAATTCACAAATTCTTTCTGCCAGAAAACAACACCCCATACATTCGAATTTCTCATTCTTTTTGTCATATCTGAAAAGAACATCAAAATTTCTTTTCAACGATGGGCTTTTTATTCGTGCACAGACGATTTTAACTATTCATATTATGTGCTCAAAATATTATTTTTGCTCATTTTGGGGTACAAAATTGGAATCAGACGAGATTCATTAATTTTATTACTTCCTATTCAGTATACGTGAGTATTACATTTAGAAGGAGTATTTCATATCGTTCTTTGTTCCAGACTTAGTTGTAGGGCCGTCATCAAAACTATACAGGGCTTTTCACGATGAGCGTTAATTTGACGTTTTCGGCAAACCAGGCAACGGATAAATCTGAAATTTCGATGGTATGTATAAATTAACATAATCTACACTACTGAAATATTTGAAACGATCCGGCCTTGCCGCTTATACTAGAAAGTAGCAGCAACTTCGATTTTTCAAATGGGACACCCTGTATTTCATTACATTCTTGGATTCTTGCTGAACAGCAGAATTCATCGATTCAAAACATTCAAGGTCTAGCGGGACTGATAACTGAGATATAGGATGTGGAAAATCGAGATGTTTCAACTCTAGAAATGTTTTGTGTTGAAACTATTTATTATTGCATGGTCAAAAAGGCTTCAATGTCCCTATCTCAACTTTCCATTCGATCTTCAATTGAAACAGATACAGGGTGGTGCAGACATCTGAATTATGAACCATCCTCTATTTGTTTCGATTAAATGTCAATAGATACAAAGTTAAGATAGGGACATAAAAGCCGTTTTGATCAATAAAAACTATTTTCGCACAATAATTCTAAAGTTGAAACATCTTGATTTTTCTCACTCTAAATATCTCAGTTAGTCCCACTAGACTCCGAACTTTGGGAATCGATTAAATCAGCTCTTCAGGAAGCATCCAGGGTGTCCCATTTGAAGAATCAAAGTTACTGCTACTTTCGAGTAGAAGCGGCAACGCCGGATTGTTTCAAATATTTCAGACGTGTAGATCATGTTAATTTATACATACCATCGAAATTTCAGATTTATCCGTTGCCTGATTTGCCAGAAACATCTAATTAACGCTTATCGTGAAAAGCCCTGTATAGTTTTGATGACGGACCTGCAACTAAGTCTGAAACAAAGAACTATATGAAATACTCCTTCTAAATGTAATACTCACGTATACTGAATAGGAAGTAATAAAATTAATAAATCTCGTCTGATTCCAATTTTGTACCCCAAAATGAGCAAAAATAATATTTTGAGCACATAATATGAATAGTTAAAATCGTCTGTGCACGAAAAAAAGCACATCGTTGAATAGAATTCTTGATGTTCTTTTCAGATATGGCAAGAAAAATGAGAAATTCGAATTTATAGGGTGTTGTTTTCTGGCAGAAAGAATTTGTGAATTTTAAGTGAAGCCGGACCTGGATTTTATCTTTTGCTGTTGCCTCAATCAATTCCACAGGGTACATTGAGCAAGTGTACCAATTTTTGAAAAAAAATATATACAGGTTGGTTGGAAATTTATGAGATAATGAAGATATGGACAAAATTGATGAAACATCCTGTATCTCGGTTATAAGAAGTCGAAGACCCATCAACCATGGGTTTTTTGAAATCACCTCAGTGACCCCTATCCACAGTTGAATTATTTACCTTTCCCAATGAAACACCCTGTATACTATTTTTCACATTGGCGAAAACACAAGAATTAGAAAGAATGAAAATTTATGTTTGTGTTTTGTCAAAAATTAGTAGTAGTATTGTTTGTGGAATTCGTATCTTGACAACATGCATCTTGTTGACAACCCATGGTGACAGCAAATATCAAACTGAAATTTATGAAAACAGCTTTGAAAATGGTTGACGGTTATAGAACAAGAAATCGAGGAATAACCCCAAGAAGCTATCGATACTGCTTCTGCAGTGAATCTTAACTTGCTACCAGTGAGATCTAGAAATCTGTATGATGCAGCATATACTCGCTTCAGAGAAGGGTGTTCCGAAAAGAAAGCGCAGAGCTATGCGGAGAATGTAAAGTTGGTATAAACTCCCTAGGAAGAAAATATGTCACATTATCTTCCTAAGAAATGATACGAGACTTCTGCCCCTCGTTTGTTACCAGATAAACTAACTTCCATTCCTGCCGGCGTAAAAAATATATTTTCGATTCATAGTATTGTACCAAGCCCATATTTGTAATATTATTAACAGCGCCAGATTTAGGGGAGGGCATTCGGGGCTACAGCCCTGGGGCCTACACAATAGAGAAAAAAAATCTTTCGACTTTCGACGGGTAAACACTAGTGAACAACTATTCCTTCAATATTTCTTATGGAGAAGTCTGAAAATATCAATTTGTCAAAATAGCCCTGATAAGCAGTTGTTGCCATTTACTACCCATCTGGATAGAGTATCCCTATGGCTGAGTGGGACGATACTTGTCCGTAGCCTCAGAGAGTGGGTATTCGCTTCCACGTTTTCATTGAAGAGGGCTATGGAAAAAACCAACCTACTGACCCAGATAACACCGATCATCGGCCCAGCATTTGTAACGCACACCTCTCCCGGCAGTTCATGTACTTTCCTGGCGTCGATAGGTGTCCAGGCGGCCGCCAGCCGGCCGTATTACACATTACCGGTGATTAAATTTTTGACTCAGAAGTGCTACAGCGGCAACAAATTTCAATGCACCATTAATGGGAGCGCTCAGCCACAAACGTATATGCGCTTGCAAATCCGTATCAAGGGCGATTAGTTTTTCGAGCACTTTCCAAGTATCTGACCGCGAACTACAAACTACAAATGCGCACAGTTTGTAGTTCGCGGTCAGATAATTGGAAAGTGCTCGGAAAACTCATCCTTTCTGATACGGATTTGCAAGCGCATATAAGCGTGATGACGACGTTGAATAATGTTATTCAAACGTATTTATATAACGTGATTGTCATGACCAAATTGACAATAATGGTGATTTCACGCAGTTATCGAATGAACCAACCAGAAACTCGAGTGAAGTTCGGATTATCGATAACACCGAACTTGACTCTCGACTCTGATTGGCCTGTCAAGTTCGGTGTTTCCAATGTGCATGTGACAGTTCAACATCAAATATGAGTAGTAACGCTGTGCACTCATTCAAATATGAGCAGATTACATAAACTCAGCATTGCGAAAAAGATATTGCTAATATGAGAAATAATAGCAATCATGATAATATGGAGATCATTGCAAATACAAAAAGGTGTTCGAATAATTAAGGTCGAAACATTGTACATAATACCTCTACCGTTTCAAATCATAATCTCAAAATGTTTGAGTACATGTTATTACTGGATTTATCAAAGATGTATTTCGTTCGATGCCAATGTTCACTGTTCATTAAACTTTATACTACCGAATCCCAGACTTCTCACCTTTCACTTCGTTTGTGAAATAGTTCGATGAAACTCCACTCTTGGTTTAATTTATTCCATAATAAGTATGTCTTTCATTTCTGAGCTCAACGGAATTACTTCGAATGGACTCGTTGTGTTTCCTCGATCAATGCTTCGTTCAGGAATGAATCGACAGACTCATTGTGGATATTCAATTACTTGTAGTATTACTGTTGCTAATTCAACGAGTAACTCATTTTCCACCCATTCAACTTTGAATAGACGATGAATCAACGTTCATGTACCCATCGGGTAGTTTCCCAAAAGAAATAATGCCTTCGCCATAATTTCAAAATACTTAAATACTAACATTGAGTATTCACACTAGTGTATATAATCAAGGATACTAAATAGTTTCTACACAATTACAATGACGTCACAGAAAATACTATCTCAACGATGTCATTTTACTTTCTGAGAGTGATAAATTCATCATCTTTCTGAATTCTCGAGATATTAGTTTGTGCTGGGTCATTTCAATTCTGGAGACAAAAAATGATGTCATTTCAAATTATGGTGGAGGCACAACTAGATTCAACCATACCTAACATATTTAGGGCATCTTCTGTTGTATGATGTTAAAACATACATATTTCAAGGATCAGCTTCTGGAAAGACCTATACATACATCCCATCAGCTCTCAGACACAGCTCATCAAAATATTTCCCTAGGTATTCGGGATTTCAAGTACCTACTAGTCCAATATAGATGCACGAAAAAAACTATTCAATCTCATTCATGAACATAATTCGATTCGATCAGGATACTTGAAAAGTTATTAAGCAGAAACCTCTTTCAGATTATCACTTTCGAGGCTGAACGAATCCCAGGATTATTCTCACCAATATCACTCAAGTTCAGTCAAAACACATATGAAGTATACAATGTGTTTCTGAAATTGTAGCGATTAATTGAATGGGGTGTTATATATTGACATCATGAATTGTAATTGAAAAATGTTTCCAGCTAGGAAAAATCCAAATACTCAAAGTGGAATGCAATGGTCTCAAAGAGAAAGAAACTCAAAGTCATTACCACAATAGCTCATAAAATGAACGAAAATGGTAGATAACGAGAGAAAAACAACTACTTTCCTCGCTGTATGCCACGCAGAACATTGGAATAAATCTTCCCGAAATCTATGCAATAATTCGTGTAGACGAATAAAATCGCGAGTGTTTCCTTCCTAAACGCCGAGCTGCGCCTAAGTGGTTCAGGAACGTGTGACCACCTGCAGAGCGGTTTCGAGCTGTTGGCTCTGATCATTGCAGGGCTGTCCCAGATGGCTTCTTGACAGCTATCTGGTGCGAACCTGACCTGACAGAAACGCATCTCTGCCTTTATACCCCACGAGGCTTTTTCCTAGTTGAAAATACGCCAGGCGGGCAAGCAGCCACTCCCATTTCACCTGAAATATGCCTGACATGGAATCTTGTTTTCGAGTGTCTCTTTCCTTGCCAGCTGGCGTTCGGCTTTCGCGTTCATTTCGCGGACATTGAAGGCCTCGTGGGGTATAAATCCTGAGATGCATTCACGTTGGGTCAGGTTCGCACCAGATTGCGGTCAAGAATGATATCTGGGATAGCCATGCACTGATGAGAGCCGAAAGCTCCAAACGGCTCTGCAGGTAGTCATGCGTTCCTGAATCACTCAGGCGCAGCTCGGCGTTTAGAAAGGGAAGACTTGCGATTTTGTTCGTCTATACGACTGATCACATAGATTTCGGAAGGATGTATCCTATGCTCTGCGTGCCATATAGTCAGGAAAGTAGTTGTTTCTCTCTCGTTATCTACACTCTGAGTTCCTCTTTCTTTATGGAATTTTTTTCATTAAATGAAAAATGCTCGATAACGTATGCTTTTAGTGCTTCTGGTACTTGTTTTTTCGACAAAATGTGCATACATGTGTTTCGTCTTATATTATCTCTCAACTTCGTTTAGAGCTCATATTTTGGAAAAATAGTTCGATCAATGAAGAGGTTGTGGAGGGCATGAGAGGGGAGAGTTTTTTTGAGACTAAGAAAATGTTCGGAGTAGATAGGAAGTGAGAATTCCAAAAGTCCCCGAACTCACATGGTGAGCCAAATGCAGGGGGCGAAGTAGAAGGTCACTTTCTATGATTCATCGTTTATATCTCAAAAACGGTCACATGTGTATTTCGAAATATATGTAATTATATTATATAGTCTCACACTAATGGAAGCACGGCTGTATATTTCGTAATAGTTGAGTTAGGATTCTGAGATTTGCAGCAGCGAGAGATATACCGAAAATGTACACTATGATCAAGTGGAGTCATCTTCAGTTATATACACAGCTTGCCAACAGCCATCCACATTTCTCGAAAATGATATTAGGAGGAGAGATAGGCTGAAAATCACTTTCGATTCAGATGAGGACGTTCGATTCATAGAGTATATATCCATATTCTTCCTCAAAAATGTTTTGTCCTGAAAAATTAATTTCACACGATTTGCTAGAGAATATCTCGATAAATATGGAAGACACGGGGAAAATCCACTGATACGATTTTGTAGATAATTTGATTAGATACAATTCTGAATAGAGATAGATAGATCGAGATAGATAGATAGAAAATGTTATCCATCAAATGAGCTTAATAACATACCTATCGGACAGGTCAAAGGCCAAAACTAATTAAAATTGGATAAAACAAATAATACACTAAACACCAGGTACACAAATTCATCACATATACTCGTTCCCAAACAAGACTATCAAAAACAAACATCTAACCTCACTCCTGAAATAATTTAAGATATTCATAAAACTCAGCTATTGTGTAAGGGCTCATTTTTCAAAGTACCTCACATAACATTTTCTTGAAGCAATGAACTGAGTTGATATTTTTCATGGCAAAGGAAAGAACGTTGAAAAATCCCAGTCCCATACTTTTATATGATTTTATGTGAGGTGTGTACTAGGGATATGAAGATTATTTCTTGTTCTCGTATTATGTTTGTGAAAGGATCGGTTTCTCGTAGAAGAATATCTATTTCTATGAACATAAACCAAGAGTTCTCAGAATAAAAAGTCCAACCAGTGGTAGAATTTCAATTTTTTTGAAAGAGATGAGGATGTAGATGATACTTACTCCTGCATTCGATCTAATGATCCTTTTTCGAGAAATAAATACGTTCTGTGTTCCTGTTGAGTTCCTCCATAACATTATTCCATATGATAATCAAGAATGAATCTCACCAAAGTAATATTGTTTCAGACCTCAAATATCCAAAACATTTCATCACAAACAATCATCACCATGTATAAATTTCCTTACGGAATACCACTTCAGCTTCAATTAATATCCGGGATTTTTTCTCGAACACGAAAATTTAGAAAATATTCGTGTTCTCGAAAAAGTTTCCGGAAATAATTGAAGCTCTCGTGATATTATAAGTGACAATTGAAGGCATTTGATCGAAAATCAATTTGACACTTCTGTCATCATGATTAATTGATTTGATGATGAAGAAATATTCAGTGAGTAAATAAAAAAACTTTCCTCTTTCATGTCTTCTACACCCTCTTATTGGGCGTTTATTGACTGACGTAAAACGTCATATTTGATTGGAGGTCGGGGAAAAATATTGGTATACGTACTTTACTCGACGTTAAAAGCATCATGGTAGATCTTTCCAAAACTTGCCTCGCGGCAGACATTTGTGCTCTCCGCCTCTCGTCTTTCAAGTCGTTCTGCCTGTCGCCCGTCAAGTGTGCTAACTCTACCATTTCCGAACCGAACTGACTAAATGCTTTAACGAATTCGGTGAAATTGTTGACTGACTCCAGGCGATCCAAACTGTGAGATACCTGAAAAAAACATCAGTAGGGGTGAAATTAGCATCAATTGAAAACTAAAGTTATAGTTCCTCTATTCCTACAGAAGTCAGCTGTGCTATTATACAGGGTGATTCAAAATTCGATGTGAATCTGTTGTTAGGATCAAAATAGGATCAAAATAGGACTATTTTCTTCACATGAACATGTGACCTAAAATGCACCCCCTTCGAGCTACAGCCACTGTGAGTTAGGTAAAAAAAAATATTATTCAAATTTGTGAATAAAATAACAGATCAAATCTTCTGAAACATTGCATGTCCATGTCTTTTTAGACACTCCATCTTCTTATCCATTCCATCATCAAATTTGATGAAAAAATCGTTGGTTCATAATGCAGCTGAAATATATAACAATTATCCAAAATGTTTCACAGATATCCAATCACATGACAAGTTCAGAAAGTCTGTAAAGCAAGTACTCATTGAACATGTATTTTATAGTGTTCAATGAACCTCGAGACTTATCAAAAATTAACACGATACAAAAAATATTTATGAAGGGAATATATCTTTACTGAAAAAAAATCCTGGAAGTTTCAAGTCCCTCTGGAAAGTCATCACCAAATTTGTACGGCAACATGGTTGTTTCAAACAAACGATTCCAGCCTACTCTTTTTATGAGCAAAATTATTCTTTTCCAAAAAAACTTCAACGCCTTGTACCAACTCAACGATACGATTTTGGATATAGGTAAGTTGCCCTGAATCAACTCGTTTTTATCACAGAAGTTCACAGCCGATCCATGTCCCAACCTCTTACAGACACCCTGTATATATTTATTTTATTTTATTCATAATTATTCCATTCCTGTTGAATGTTGAACGATAAACATATTCTTATTTGTATTTGATGATGTGTCTGTTCGTCGGTAATACCTATGTTTGTGTTTTTTTCTGCAACCGACACAAAAGTCGTCCATTTTGGTACTAAAATTAGCTCTTAAATTAACGTTTCTATTACTGACACAAAAATAGGTATGTTGCTAGGCAACATATTTAGTTCCTAGGAGCTAAAGTTGAATTTTAATTCCTAGGAGCTAAAGTTGAACTTTAGCTCCTAGGAACTAAAAAGGATATACTGGAAGTCATCAAGAATAAACAACATTGTGACGGTTGGTTATTTGGGTTGAGACGCATACCTGATTTGTTTCCGATTTCAGCAGATTTGGCATTTCATACCCATGCTGGAGATATAAATACACCTTACTATAGTTTAGTATTGGAGTTATAAACATCTCAGTTAAGTATTTTCGTTTTGATCAGGGAAGCCTTCAAGATTCAAATACTTGCTTGATCTGTATTTCATTCGTTATTCTCGGGATGGATAACTTGTTTTTGAATAATCACGGCAAGCAATAGTTTTTTTTTATCTCAAACAACGATATTGTTTAGCTTCATTTGATTATCAAGTCAAACACAGTGTAGTATGGAGAGGAATAAATAATCACTATTATCATTGTATATATAGCTGGCACTGGCGCGGTATTTGCCATTAGAGCACCTGGTCCATACACAAATATGTCACACTGTGGTTGTATTTATATTGAAACTACAATTCAAACATCCTTGAAAACTCAACCTGCTGTTAATGTAGGTAGAATATTCTCACCACACGGATTATTTGTCAATATTTGTTGCATTGCATACATATGGCACGGCATTGGTGGTTACTTCACATCTTTATTTGAGTTAATTGTTTCGGTTGCAGAAAAAATAGCATGTATTGTTTCATTCAGATCAAAAGTGACTTTGTTCGACTCGCAAATTTTGCTTTCGCTCGGCTTCGCTAAACGCTCCGCCTCGCAAATGCAAAATTCGCTTGTCAAACAAAGTGTTACTTTTGATCCTAATAAAACAATCTACTATTATATTTATTTATTATGACTTTGTCTACAAAATACTCATCTTTCGACAATAAAGTATATTTTGATTTGAATTGATCTGATTGATCTCTTCGAAGATGATGTGAACGCACTTTTCGGGTAGTCGGAGAGGGGTCCACACTTTTACTGGCCCAAATTTCAAGTTAAAAAATAGATACTCTGACTTTTGATTGCTTGGTCTTGTTGTAAAAATACTCCAGAATTCGGTCTCTTGCACTTTTTTTTTCCAATACATACTAACCGTTTGCCAGAAATTCGTAATCAACGAAAGGGAAAGTCACGACATCGTTTCCGAACGCTATGGGTTGAACTTTTGCATACGGAGGTGATCGTATGTCGGAACGTATTTGAGACTGCTAATTACAAAGGCGTGCAATACTGGAATATTTGCATACCCAACTCACAGCGGCTGTAGCTCGGAGTTTATATGAAAGAAAGAGTCCTATTTTGATGCGAACAATATACGTATTCGAAAAATCCACATCGAATTTTAATTCACCCTGTATGGGTGTCCTAGTATACAGGGTGATTTAGGTTTCAAGGTACAAACTGGAATGGGTGATATATTTCATTATTCAAATCAAAAAACTTTATATAAACATGATATCGATCTCGATTATTCTTCTATGAATTAATTCAAATATGTCGCTCAAAATATGTCAATTTGAAATTTGGCGTGGATGATTCTTCTTGGAAAAACTTCATTTTCATGCATTTTGAAGAGTTTGATACTTTTCTGGAGATAGAGGCTACTTTATCCTTCCAAAACTTTTTCGTGGTGCACCTCTGACAACTTGAAGATCTAAATTCGAAACACTCTGTATATTATTCTGGCATCAGGAATTTCTGATGATGAAATTATGTGATATTGAAATTTCAAATGAATTTTTCGAATATATGACTGAATAAACTATAATTATTAATGGTCGTGAATTGAAATGAAATACAAATTACCATTACAGAATATTACTGTGACAGGAAAATATTGAAATGGTCAATAAATATCGACTCTGAAAATCTAACTCACTGGTGCAATATTGCTTGATGATTTCGATTCACGTGTTTGTAAGACAAAAATGCCAAAGTCCTTTCTGAATTGAAAGCAAATATTATTATCATAAAACGGAAAGATAAATAGGTAGCTGGACAAGTTATTATTCAATATAATGACAGAGCATACTCATGAATACAGAAGGAATAGAGAATTCCTAAATCGAACAATTATTCCTTCGAAACAGTTCAGCAAGCTTAGTGATAATACCAATAATCATTTCGATCAAATGAAATTGCGCTAGCTCTTTAAATAAAAGAGGGAGGGAAGGATGAATAGGACTTTGAAAAAGCTCTCATTACTACAGTTTGATGTAACGGAATTCAACGATCAACGATCTTGGTCTCATTATGAAGGGTTTTGTTGGTTCTTCCAGATGAATCATGAATCACGATTTGAATCCTGTTTCGGCCGCTAGATGGCATCGTTTGAAAATTCAGACAATCAGACAATTTTCCATTTTTTTGGAACCATATATTCATTCTTCTCTGATATGGAAATAGAGCGAACGAGATGGAAAATGGTGAGAACCGCAAATTGATACCTCTTGAGGAACCGGTGAAATACTCGAGATCATATTATGAAAATATTCACCACAGGAATCCAACTTCAATAATCGTAATCAGAAATATCCTGTATCTATGGAATTTCAATAATTCATTCATTTTGGTTTCACAAACTGCTGTTATATCTTACAATAGTGGAGGAGACTCTCAGTAATGACATAGCTAATTTGAATGAATGAAACGTCACTGTTCACTGTTTATGGTGGATTGCTTATTTGTCAAAATGCCGATAACGAATGAGGAGGCATTTGACATGATAATAGTTTGAATTTCAATATTATTCCGAGTATTTCTCCGGTTCTTCAAGAGGTATCAACTCGCGGTCTCCACCATTTTCCTTCTTGTTTCAACTTTTATATCATAGCAGGACAAATATATGGTTCCAATTGAAATTCTCCAAAAAGAAAGGCGAATCGGCTGATTTTTCAAAGGATGCCATCTAGCGGCCACCACGGGGTTTAAATCGACTTGATTCGTGATTTACCAAGAAGATCTGAATAAACCCTTCATGATGAGACCAAGATCGCTCAATTTCGTTACACCGAACTATAGTTATAAGAGTTTTTAAAGAGTACTATTCATCCTTCCCTCCTTCTTTTATTCAAAGAGCTAGCGCAATTTTTTTATCGGAATGATTGAAAATCAACTCGAGAACATGGAAAAAGTGTTTCTGATATGTCTTGATATATCAAATTTTCATAAAAACCCGTTTTTTAAGTTGGTCAATGCGATTATGCCCTCTAGCGGCTGTCCTGGAAACTTGAAAATAATTTCTAGAGATTTTTCTTGGCCAATTTTATCATGAATATTTTTTTCCGAAATCTGTCCGGCAAATAGTTTCCGAGATACAGCCGGCGTCTTCTCTTATAGTGGTACACCCGGTATTTCAATTCGCAAGAATTGGATTGATTCGTTGAAAGAGTTTGTGAAAACCCGTTAGATATAGTCACCTTATCTTTTGCTAGAAGAAGTTGTTTCACAACCACGATATCTGCTAGAAGCAACACCCTTGTGACGGCACCCAGAAGACATCGAGCAGCTCTCACTAAGGTGGTCCTGTCTGGCAATATTTCTTCATTGTGTACTTCGCATATGTGTTCGATCGCGCCACCTAGACCAAAAAAACATCGACGTCAACTAACTAGATTTACTTTTGGGTGTATGATAAATTGACATTCATCATACAGGGCGTGGAAAGAAATTCTGAATTGAGACTCTATCACGAATCTGCGATTAGAGGTCTATAAAAATCACAAGTTTCCATCGTTCAAGTTTGAACCCCCTGATGGGGTATGAAAGTGTTGAAAAGGAATATTCTCAGATAAATTATGAACATTCAAAAATGGATATATATTTATATAAAACAATACATTGAGAATTCGCATTCTCTATGTGATGAGATTATCAACTCTTCTTCAGTTTATTCAATAGAAAACAACTACTTTCCTGGCTATATGCCACGACGAACATTGGATCTTATCTATTGAACACACGCGATAAGAGTTTGAAAATACAATATAAAATCTTCTGAAATTGAGAATTTGCATTCTCCTTCAGACAAAGATATGTACATTCATTCTGAATATTCAACAAAAAACAACTACTTTCCTGGCTATTTGCCACGTTGAACATTGAATTATATCTGATGAACATCCAAAAGGAGAACATAAAAAATAATAATGTCAATTCTCAATTTCGGAGGATTTTATTTTTTATTTTTCATGTTCTCCTTTTGGATATTCATCAGATATAATTCAATGTTTATTGAATAAACTGAAAAAGAGTTGATATTCTCATCACATAGAGAATGCGAATTTTCAATGTATTGTTTTATATGAATATATATCCATTTTTGTATGTTCATAATTCATCTGAGAATATTCCTTCTCAATAACTAGATTCATTTGGAAAATTCGGCTTGAAACAAACAATGAGAAGTAGTTCAAAAAACTGAAGTAATTCATATCATAGATAGTCGAACTAAAAAGAAATAGAAAATAGAATAATGAAGGTGAGTTGATGAATACACAACATAGAATATATTGATTACGGAGGTACCTACTGATATTTTTTATACTGTCTGTAGGTTAATCGAGGAGGTGGTACATTCATTATTCCAAATTTTTTGGGATTTTCTCACCTCGTTTCTATAAAATAAAAATATGAATATTATTTCAATATACGTGTAGTAAGGACAAATCAGATGATTTGCCCCAAAATGTCACTGCGTTTAAAGAATTTCCCTATCAGAGAGCCTAAAAGAAAAATTCACTAGCTTGTCAGTGACAATTTGTATTGGAAAAAGTTTGGAGAAGAGAAATAAAGGTATATAGAAACAATATCAAATTTTCACTTATCTTTGAAAACGGGAGCAGAATCGGTCCTGAAACGTCCAATTTCACATTTCAATTTTTGGTGAAGGACCATTTTGAAATTTGGTGGCGAAACATGATCCACCATTATCGCTCATCCTAAATAGAGTGTGCGAGGTTTCAATTCAACTACTCGTTCTGAAGTGGGCCAGCATCACCTGTCTCTCTGAATGGTACTATTCATACGAGTACTTGGTGTAAGACACTGCCGTGTCCCTGGATAAAAAATGCATTGTAAAAAGTTAGTCGAAGGAATAAAACGAAAATTTAAATTTATCATGATCTCTGAAGACGACTGTACAATTGATAGTGCATGTATGAAGATGTTCAAATGTATATATTCATCGAACAAGACATTCTGATATAAGCAAAATAGTTGTTCATTATACAAGGGAAAAGATTGTCGATTTTTGCTCGAGGTTATGTTGTCTCCCGACTCGTAGGGAAGGAACACAAAAAACCGTGAGGTAAAATCAAATATTTTTCTGGCGTATAATACACTGTTTTTTTCTGTGATAGAAAAATCGACGGATTGATATTGAGAAAATATTACATTATGTGAAAATCAGAAAATTATCTCTCTCAAAGTCATTGACAATGAAGATATTAAATAATCAGTACTAGTCCTTTTTCTATCCCGTGTGTCTATTTTGGACTATTCTTTTTTTTTAGGTATACCTACGTTTTATAATTCGTGTAAGTGAATTGGTGTTGATATTTTTCTTCGCCTAATATCCTATCAAAAATATCACGAATGATAATTATTCTTCAATTGATACTTCTTTAATAGGGAAAATACACGGCCTACTAGCAAAAGTGTATCATAATTCAATGTTTCAGTGATTTCTGGAAATCATATGTATTAATTAATCCAAATGGCAAAAAATGACGAATTCAACGAGATAATGAACTACAGGGCGTTCCATTGAAAGATATATAAGTTTGTGTCGTATTACTGAAACCATACACAGAAAAATAAGTGTGAGTACGTCACTGGATTCTTCTCAAAAGTCTTTATCAGACGGAGTCCTGAGCGCAACATTATTCTCATCAACGTGGTAGATATAAGAGGTGTCCATAAAGTATCAATTTTCAAAATTACCCTGAATCTCATAAACGGAAACAGTTAGGCAAAATCTTGAGTTTAGGATGGGAACGTGAAAACTGTAACGCTCCATGTTCAATAACAACCAAGAAACCTGGCAGTGTGTATATGCCAGTTATCTTTGGATATAGAATGTTGCGGTATTCACATTTCATTTCATTTCATTTCATTTATTATCAGTTCACTAGGTATACATTTCTTATTATTTATAAATCGATTTTATTTCAGAGTAGGAATAGGCAGCACTCACTCTAAGTAACCAAATACTTGTTTCGTGACTGCAGGCCCCTCCCTACTCCACAAACTGTATTTTTTTTTTTTCAAAAATAGCAAGTAGAGTATTTACAATTTGATAAATATTTTGAATAAGTGAAATTACATATTAATATGATAACTTCAATGGCGGATTATCAGATAATGAATATATGAATATATAATCATATTTATATATATACATATGTGTGTCCATAGGAATATTTAGATTCTATTTATAGGATGTAAAGATATCTAGAAAATAATATCAAGAATATCTGGATGATTTAAAATATGAGATTTCATTTGAGTTTTGTATTTTTTGTAAGCTTTAATTTGTTTCAGATTAGTCGGAAGGAGGTTATATATTATTCTCGTTGCATAATAGAAAAAGGAATTTTTTGTGACTGCCTTTTTGAAGACTTCAGTTCTTATATTCAAATTGGTTGCGGATCTATTTCCTAAATATGTTCCCGGTATTTTTCGCTGTTCATGAAAGAGACGAAGTAAACACTGATTAGCATACATTCCTTGAATATTCAAGATTTTTGTTTCTTCATATAGTAAGTCAGTGGGAAACAACCTGGCTTTGTTGAAAATCACTTTTAAAAGCTTATTTTGTGCTGTTTGCAGAGTGCTGAGTGTTGTTCTATAAGCCCCTCCCCAAGCTGTTATGCAATACCTTATTATAGATTCTGCAAGTGAATTATAAAGTATTGTTAATTTTTTTTTTGTTAGAATATCTCGAAGTTCATAAAATTTATGCATTAGCACTCTTATTCTTTCTGCTACATATGTTATATGTTCTGTCCATTTTAAGTGTTGGTCTACTACGACTCCAAGATATTTTATGCAGCTGGTTTTCTCTAAGTAACTGCATTTACAATTATGGGGTTAAGAACAGTAGCCATTGTGTAATTTCATTTGATCTAGGTTATTGGGTTGGTCTACTATTGTAGGAGAAAAGGTAATATATTTAGTTTTTTTAATATTGAGTGTCAGCAAATTATTATCGAGCCACAAGTACAGTTTTTGTAGATCGTTTTCTGCATTTTGTTTCACCTGTTCCCATTTTCTTTCGGAAAATATAAGGGCTGTATCATCAGCATAACAAACTAGATGACCTTTGAAATTGTTGATTTTAGTGATACTGTTCATATAGATCAAGAACAAAATTGGTCCAAGTACTGTGCCTTGCGGTACCCCTGTTTTTATAATATTGATAGAGCTGTAGGAGTTTCCTATTTTAACCTTCTGTGTTCTATCTGTTAAATAATTTTTCATGAGTTCTAGAGCTGCACCTCTGATGCCATAATTGTTAAGTTTATCCATTAAATGTTCATGTTCGACGGTATCGAACGCCTTGGCCAGATCCAAAAAAACTGAAATGCATCTTGATGAATCGTCCAAGGCCTTCGTTGTAGTTCTTGAAAAATCAATTAAGGCAGTTTCGGTGTTGGAGTTTTTTATAAAGCCAAACTGCCTGTCTGTTATAACATTATGTTTATTTAAAAAGGATATCATCCTCGAGTTTAACGATTGTTCAAAAATTTTTGAGAAATTATTGATAATAGATATAGGTCTGTAATTATCTACTCTTGAAGGATCTCCCGATTTCAGAATAGGTGATATGATTGACTCTTTCCATTGTTTGGGAATTCCGTGGGTAAAACATAGATTTATTATATGTAATACTTCTGTGTTTGGAGTTGAAAATTGTTACTCAATTTTGGTCACTCCTCAACTTATCGGCGGATTAAGAATAAGCCTTATATAACTTTGTACGTGTAGTACAGGAGCGTACTTATTTCATTTCTGTAATCGCCCATTTTCAGACTATGGAGCAAACTTTTTTTTTTGAAGGCATATAACCTCCAAGAATTTATGAAGAACACCGATTCCTACCTTATTTCCCTTGGTTCTCACGATGTTCTCAGAACATTACAGGATATCCCTTTTCGTGGGAACCAGAACATAAAAAAAATCAACTATTATGAATATATTCCTGATGAGCTAGATGAAATCTGAATCGAACTGGATTTCCCGTGGGAAAAAAGTGAGTTCTTTTTTCCCGGATATATATTACATATATATACAGTGTTGATGGCTTTTGTTGTGCTATTGTTTCGAAAAATGAGTCACACAGGGAGAAAAGGCGATTGCATATCTATGCACAACATTGTGTAGAAGATGTTTGTGAAGTATTATTTAACATTTGTTCAAATAATCACTACAGTCATTTCGTGAAATGAAACAAATGTTTGTGTATATCAATTTGTGAAATATTTGTTCATATCCATGTAGCAGAAAACTACACAAAAATATTCACATCATCCAATGCACACAATTGTATTGACTAAATACACCGCTTTTGAAATAATG